AACACTAGATCGGTTTTGTGGAACACTATAATTTGAGCATGTCTACATACATACTGTGAATATTGTTTTGATGCTTACATTATCACAGTTAGTATCAACTGTGGAGGTTAGGATTTTGTGATACATACCCTACATATCTGTATGTCATTTGTAAGGTGTTAAATGGAAGTTTTAATTAATTCTGTCTTTATATCAGACTAAAGGGAACAACTTAAATTGGGCATGTATATGTTGTTGTTGTGACCCTGTTTATCAATGCTTATTTTATCACTGCTAACATTGAATGTTGGATGTTGGAATTTAGTTGATATATACTTGATTTATTGGTATTATTGACGTACTACTGGAGGATTGGAAAGTAGGCATCGGTATGGGACGGTGGCATACTAAGGATGGGTTTGGTTTTTAAATCAATACCATTACCCACCTACTTGGAATAAGAATGGGATTAACTAAAAGTTAAGTCCCGTGGATTTGTATTGTCATGGCAACTACTTGTTGAGCGGTAATACCAGGGATTTTGGATGGATTTTATATATGTACTGTTATGGTGCCTCGGTATGAGCTTGAGCCTCAGGACCGATGGCTAGGGAGCGTATATGCATCGGGATGTGTAGCTGGCTACGATGGTTGAAGGTGTACCCTGTTTAGGTATAGGTACATATGCCCACTTCGTGTGCTTTTTAGCATGTTACCTCTATTCAGGTTGAGACCGGCCTGTAGTCCAGTGAGAGTCCTTTAGTGTGACTATATATATATTTACGGACTATTAGCTATTGTTGAATTGTTTAGGATGTACATGCGTATCGGGCCTCTGTTTGGATTGTAGTAGTATAGAACTTGCGCGTGGGCTTGACCCACTTCTATTTTTCAGGTACACGACAGTTCCAGGCTTAGACGTGTTCGTGCTGAGCAGAAGTCTCTATTCACTCTTCCGACGATGTAGGGCTCTCTCTATAGTTTTATTTCTGGACGTTTATTACATTTGTTCTATCTTCCGTTTGGATGTTTAATAGGGGTCCACTAGAGATGGATTCCCAAGTTGTAAACTGATAGAGTTTTGGAGTTTGGGTTTGATGGATTTTAATAATTATAATATTTTGCGGATTCTATTTTTAGTTCCTTCCAGCTTTAATTTCATTTCTTAATTTATTTTGTATCCCGTGTTCATTATAAAATATTAATTGTTTGATATTCCCTCAGGTCTGGGCCTGGGCCTGATCAACCCGTGTCTTGGATCCGAGGGGTATCACAATACCACTTGATCAGGGGCAGAAGTGGAAAGGGTAATATCTTGCAACTATAACATGAAGTTTTGGCTTTGGAAAAAGGGAATTTGTTGTAATGAGCTTGGAATCACCCACTGATTATTGGAAATTAAACTATCAACTGAGACTTTTGAGTCCAGTTGAAAAATTTCCAAATCAGAGAGACCAAGCTGAAGTGCGATAGGTCCATTTGGTAACCAGTAGTCCATCCACATGCTAATGCAGTCTCCAGCCCCCAATTTGTGACTTACAATGCCCCTTGCCATCCCCCTCAGCTTAAGTAATCTCTTCTAGAATCTAGAACTCAATGATGTAGGCTTAATTGTCCAAACACTTTTAGTTTTGATAAGGTATGTGTAGGTCCATGCCACCCATAAACTATCCTTTCTAGAACACAACCTCCAAAGGTATTTGAGCCTTGACACTCTATTGGTGAGCTCAATGCAAGGGAATCCAAGGCCTCCAAAGTTTTTTGGTCTGCAAATTGCACTCCATGCTACCTTAGCTCCTGTCTTCTTAAACTCAGTACCAGACCAATAAAAAGACCTCAGAATTTGGTTAATTTGATCAATCACACCTAAAGGCAGCACAAAAGCCTGTGACCAATAGGTTTGTATTGAACATAAAACTGACTTAATCAACATTGCTCTTCCTGCATAAGAGAGAAATCATGATGTCCACATATTCACTCTTGCTGTGATTCTCTGCACTAGGGTTTGACAGTTTACAGCATTGACAGCTGAGGAGGACAGTGGCAGTCCAAGGTATGTGATTGGTAAAGCTCCTGTGTCAAACTAAAGTAGGGATGTAATGCTTGCTTTTGTGCTATTATCTATTCCAAAAAAGAAAACCTGACTTTTGGAAGAATTAATGGATAGACCAAAAGCAAGTAAGAAACTGTTAAGTGCAGAGTTAACACTTCAACAGAGCCTAAGTCTCCATGTGAGAATAGCATGATATCATCTACAAATGCTAAATGAGAAATGGATAATTTTCTGCATCTCCAGTGGTATTAAAAGCAAGTGCTTTGGGATATAACTTGATTGAGAGACAAGGTTAAAACTTCCATTGTAAGAACAAAAAGCCGTGGAGAGATAAGGGTCCCCTTACCTTACCCCTCTCTTTCCTTTGAAGAATCCACATAGCTGACCATTAAGTGAGATAGAGTAGGAGGGAGTGGTGATGCATTGTGCAATCCAATTGATAAACTGAGGTGGAAAGCCAAACAAGAATAGAATATCCAAAATGAACTGCTAGTGAATAGTGTCGAAGGTTTTCTTGAGATTAATTTGGAGGGTACAACATGGTAGATGAGATGATTTGTGGTAACCATTGAGTAGTTCATGAGCCAATAAGATGTTGTCTGTGATGTGCCTATTTTTTATGAATGCAGTTTGTGCAGGGCTAACTAATGATGGCAGAACAAGGCTTAACTTTGAAGCTATAAGTTTGGATATACACTTATAAACCAAATTGCAACATGAGATTGGCATATAATCACTAACAGAGGTAGGATTGGGTACTTTGGGTATAAGGGCAATGTAGGCACAGTTAATTTCAGAGAGCATTTTCCTAGTAACAAAAAAATCCTTTATTGCAATTGTGATATCCTGCCCAATGATAGGCCATGCATGGATGAAAAAACAGGAATTAAAACCATCTAGGCCAGGGCTTTTGTATGGATTGAAGGATGAGATGCAGTTCTGAATTTTCATGTCTAAAGGGATGGCTGTAAGTGAAGGTAGCAGGTTTGGAGGAACAAACTTGGAGATTAAATTGGAGAAGGTAGACATACCTGGGTAGTTGGTGTAGATTTGTCCAAGAAAATTCTGAAAGTGGTTCAAGAAAGCATTTTGTACATTAGTACCTTGAAGAGTATCTCCATTGGAGTCTTAAATGGTAACAATCTTCCTTTGGTTGGCCTTTGATGAAAAATACTTCATGAAGTAGGCTATGTTCTGGCCACCCTCTCTAAGCCACTGAATTTGAGTTTTTTGCTTGAAGAACATCTCTTTAGCTAAGCAAAGATCAACATACTTGTTTACAATAGTTCTTTCTTGTGATCTCATAATGTCATCTGCAAGGTTAAGGTCAATTGATTTATGGCACTGAGACAATTCTTCACTGCAAGCTGCTACTTTCAAGGAAATGTCACAATAATCTGTCTTGTTGAGCTGCCTCAGAGGATGTTTGAGTGACCTTAGTCTTTGTACAACACTGAACAATTTTATCCCCTGCATATGTTCCTGCCAATCTTGTTGAACAATATCCAAAAATTTCTCATTTGCAGCCCAAAAGTTGAAGAATCTAAAAAGTAAGTTCCTCTTAGGAATAATTGAACCAAGCTTGACAATCATTGGGGAGTGGTCTGAGATGCCATGAGGTAGGAATTCCACAGCTGATTGTGTCAATAAGCTCATCCATGTATGGTTGACAAGGACTTTATCAAGCTTCTTTGATATGTTGGCTGAACCAAAGCTGCTGTTGGTCCATGAAAAAAATATCCCTGAGTACCTCAAATCCTCAAGCTCATTCTTAAATAAACATTGTTTAAAGTCTTCCATTCTTGAGTCCACCTTAGTGCCCTTCCAAAAGCTTCATTGACATTTAAAATGACATTGAAATCACCCAAAAGAATCCATGGAACATTAGGTTCACTGTGATGCCTTAAACTTCTCCATAGTGGTAACCTTTCAGAGGCTGTGTTTGAAGCATAAACTAGAGAGACCAAACATCTTATCTTCATATCAATAATCCAAACTGCACAATTAAGGGCTTGACTATTTTCAAACATTACCAAAAGAGAGAGAACTGAGGTATTCCACATCACTCAGACCTTTCCCATTACTGAAGAAATGTAGTTACATTTGATTTTCCAATAGGGAGCAATAGCCTTATGAATAGAGTCTATATTATGGGGGCTTACTTTGGTTTCCAAAACAGCAATCAAATTAAGTTTATTATATGTGATCAACCTTTTAACCTCTACTTGCTTGGGGTGAGAATTTAACCCCCTAATGTTTCAAGTTGCCTAATTCATTGAGAAGTGCTTGTGAGAGTGCACAATCCCCTAAACCCCTTAAAGGTAGACACATTACTCAAATTTGGTTTAACAATTTTAGCCTTCTTGCTAATCTTGGAATGCTTACCTTGGTTGGGTTTTATAGGCTTCATTGCTTTATTGATAATGGAAGAGTATGATGGATCATAAGAGTCAAGGTTTGGGGTTTTATCTTCATCAGTTTCCAACATTTTCCCTCTAGGATCATCATCCTTCTCAATTGCACATTCATCATTCTGCAAATACAGCAAAATTGTTAGAACTCCCTTGTGTACAAATTCACTACAAGAAAAATAATTTTTTAGAACGCCCTTTTTACCACGGTTTTATAATAACCATGGTAGAAAGTGTCTTTTACCATGATTTTAAAAGTAGAAAGTAATATATTTTACCACGGTTATTGTAAAACCGTGGTAGAAAAACTTTCTATCACAGTTAATGAAAAACCGTGGTAGTAATTATACTTTCTACCACGGTTATTATAACCGTGATAAAAATTGAATTTATACTTAAAATTTATTTAGACTTTTGTAATGTCTTTTTTATTACGGTTAATAAAAAACCGTGATAGTAAGTTATTCTACCACGGTTCAAGCACCGCGGTAGGAAGTGAGTTTGGATTAAGGCGATGCGCGGGTCTTATTCCCGCTACTTTCTTAAAAAATTTTAGGCAAATCATTTTAGACCAAACACACCATACCACACATGTTAGGGCAAATCATTTCAGCCTCCCAAATCGCCTCCATCTCTATTCTCGTTCTCAACTCTGAGCTTGCCCTCTCTCAGGCTCTGCAACTGCAAACTACAAAATCTACAAGAATCAGATCAGCCTCCGAAATCGCCTCCAACTCTATTCTCGTTCTCAACTCTGAACTTGCCCTCTCTATGTCTCTGCAACTACAAACTACAAAATCTACAAGAATCAGAACCCATATCGGCATATCATTTCAGATTGTTTAAAAAATTAAAACCCATATCCTTCAGTTTCCATCGCCCGCTGTTCCAGTTTGGGTTCGCTGTTCGAAAGCTTCAGCAATCGACCAAAATTGTAGAACTCTACAGGTAAATTTCTAGGGCTTTTGAGCCTTGTCTCACATGGTGATTGATTAGCAAAAAAATCCTAGTGATATCTGTTTTCTCTCTCTAGGGTTTTTATCTCAGATGGAAGGCGTCGATGATGATTTCGGCGATATATATGTAGACGTTGAAGTTCAAGCAAGTACAACCATCAATGGCTTCCCAAACCGCACTCAATCATACACAATTTAAGGAGTGGAGGGTTTGATGATGAAGAAGAGGAGGAAGGTTGTGATTTTGCAGCTGCAGAGGGGAATGGTTCGGGTAAGAATCGGAAATGGGTTGATCAATCCCAGTTGGGCGATGGATTGGAACAGTGTTCTAATGGTACTGGTGGCGGTGAGAGGGAAAATCTGGTGAAGGGCGGTTATCATTCACAATACAAGGTAGCGTTAAATGTTATATATATATATATATATATATATATATATATATATATATATATATATATATATATTCGGATGTAAGAATTTGTGTTATAGGATCGAACTTGGTGTGAATAAAATTGTGAGAGTTGATCAATAATTTGTGTTCGTTTTAGAAATGAGATTGAATTTGGCAATTTCAATGGGTAGCTGTCGGTATAAGGCCTCCAAAGCTCTACCTTGGAGATCGATACCTTTTATTTTGATGTATGTGCTTTGTTCTTATCAAATGTTTGAATTGGGAGCATTTTTGGATTTAAATGGATGATCTCTTGGGAGGAAGCAGTGTGGTCACATAATTCCTGATTAAGTTTTACTTTGTAACTGGACTCATTTCAAATAATAGAACTCTCAGTTTTGATGATAAAGATAGATTAATGTCTTTCCTTTTTTTTTTTTTTTTTTTTTTTTTTTTTTGAGATTCTTTTATTTTATTATGATATGATTATGACATTTACACATGAGTTCTCTCTATTTCTCTGTAGCAGTAATATAATTATCCTACCTGAAGCAGCTGTTTATTGTTATTTGTAATTAATGATTTTTCACTGGGTTTTGTGTTGTGTAGTACTTAAGATATCAGACAGCAGCTTATCCTTGTAATTCAAAAGCCAATGGATCCATGGTTTCAGCTTCCTACTCTTCCACCTTGGCTAAAGGCAGTTTGGACAATAATGGGTCCAGTCAACATATGGGCTCAAGCTCAGTAGTAACTCAAAGTGGATACAATTTCTCTCTTCCCTGGTATAGGTAAGTGAATTTGGTTATGATCTTGATTCTACTCAAGCTGGGTTCTTTGGCAAACTAGTTGTTGTTTATGACATGTGATAGATATGTCAAATGTATAATAGAATTAATATTAGTTAGGATAATGTAAGAATTCAATAGTTAAAAATGTACTGATGTTAGAAGTACTATCTTTCTTACCGCATTTATGAGAAAAAAAAAGGATAATGTGTATGGTGAGATGCTGAGAACAAATGCTATACGAGATTTCTGGTTCTCATAAGGGCCACTTTTGGCACTGGCGTAACACTTATTCTGTTCTTGATTCATGTCATTAAAGGTTCTGTATGCTGTTGATTAAGTGGCATCCCATTTTTTCTTGCAGGACTATACTAGATGTAAATATTGCTATGTTCAAACAGAGGCCATGGAGGCATACTGGAACTGATATAACAGATTTTTTTTAATTTTGGGTTCAACGAGGAAAGTTGGGAAAGTTATTGCAACTGTCTGGTAAATGAATATTCTTTTAATTTTACCTTCTAGTAAATTTACATTGCTTGTCCATAAATACCAAGGTTGGTCTTCTTAGGTATACACATGTATATTAGCTGGGGTGACGTTCTACTCCATTTCCAGTTGATTTGTTGTTATGTTGTCGATGCACTCAGCATACAACCAACCTGGTTTACTTTAGTTTACTTTCCTCCCTACTCTTCCTTCTTACCTGATTTTCAATTGCATGGCCTATCAAGTACATCAAAATTTGTAAGTGACGCATTTCTTTTATGATTACACATTTTTAATGCCTTTTATACTTATGCTCAGGGGGTCACGTGCCTTTAAGTGACCAATTTTGCGGTGTATAGGGGGTCAAGTACCTTAAGTGACCATTTTTTTTAATTAGTGTTCATCAAAATCAACACTTTAGTAGTTTAGTGGGTTTGAATATTTAATAAAGTCAAAGCACTGTTTGTTACCTTTTCATATTTGATAGATAAAATTCAGGAGAAAAACATGAAGATAGTACAAACGTAGTACAAAAAATTAATAATTTGTCGTAGACAGAATATTATTCGGGGTTGGATTGAATTGATGAATAAGTTGTAGACAGAGTTGTTACTTTGGTAATAAGACGATTGCAGAAGTACAGAATAGGAATGTGAAAGAAAGCTACTTCTTCGGTGTACCTTTGCTGTAATATTCTCCTTTCTTTTAAAGCTCATTTTCAGTAGATCAAGGCCACTACTCTTATCTTTCAACATCAAATTCCTCAGGAATATACCACTTCAAAGTCTTGCATGATTGCATCATCTGTGAACTTAGGTGAGTAGTTGCTTTTTAAATCGTTTTAACGATGGGATTATATTGTTATTGCGTTGTGAGAAGGAAACTTGGCCTCCTAGACATGTTTTCCACTGAGCTAAAAATCTAGGAAAATAAATAAATGGTTAGTGGAATAGATATAACTTAATTCCTATAAAAAAAAAAAAATTAAAAAAAAAGGTGCAACACACTGATGCCTCATATGCCCATGTTTATACTTATTACAACTTTGTAGGAAATTAGCAATGGTGTTTTAATATGGTAATTTATAGAACTGTGTTTGTTGTAGAATTTTTTTGACTATGTGAAAGTCACTGTTGGTTAGCCACTGCATTAAATAAAATGTTGGAGTGAGGCCAACATGCTCTTGTTTTTCTTTGCAAATTAAGGACCTTCTCTTCATGCATGTCTAAGTTTCATGTGTGTGTGTGTGTGTGTGTGTGTGTTTTGAAAGGTTGTGTGTGTGTGTGTTTTGTTTTTGAAAGCTAGGTTGTGTGTGTGTGTTTGGTGCTACTTTTTGGACACTCATTTTTAAGATCAGAACAAGGAGCAATAGTGCGCGCACACACACATATATGTATATATTCCCTCTTCTCCTCCTCCTCCCCCGTATATTTTTTGTTTTTCAATTCTCTTAACTCAGGGAAAACAGTGTGTTGGATAAATTGTAAATATATATATATAACAGTAGCACATATTATTGAATGTCTCCAATCTTAACTTAAAACAGGATCTACTATCTTAAATCTTAATGTAATTAATGATACATTCCCGGCCTAGTAGCTAAGACAATGAATGACATTGTCATTTTCCAAAATACAGAACTTCTGTTCCGCGTTATCTCAGGGGTAATTTTCTGTATAAACTGGACACAAGTTGATTCTACAGACCTTCTAGATATACATTGGAATGAATATATTGCCAAGACTGTCTTTTGTAGCTTCCATCATGAATTCATGACGAGTAATGACAGAAATGGTGCTGATAATTGTTTTGGTGAAACAATCATTTTGGTTAATTGATTTGAGGACCTTCCTTTTCCCAATGCTTATGCAGTTGGATTGCTAGAGGATTTGATAACGAGTCTCGCATTTTAGGCTAGAAAACTGCATTTCTTCAACTTTTCTTCGAGTTCCAATTTAGGGGAAAAAAAAATTCTATGTCCATATTATATATATATATATATATATATATATCCTTAATTTGTTCTTTTCTTGTTAGGTGGCTTAGCAATCAATTTACTATAGTATCACTTCGTATAAGAATCACGTGAGTATTAATTTCTGCTTCTCTCTCTCTCTCTCTCTCTCTATATATATATATATATATATATAACTCCAGCGGGTACCTTCACAGAGAAAGACTACCCCAGCTTTAAATGTTGGCTCAGCATATAAAGAAGAAGCAAACATAATACATCCTAAAAAAAAAAAAAAAACATTCTTTTGGAAATTGATTGTGTTTATGATTGTTTTGATACTTCTGCAATTGCTTTTTGTCTTGGAGGGGGAACATCAGTGGGGACCGATTGGTTTCAGGTCACTTTCTATTCCTGGTGTTTGTCCCTGAAATGTTGCCTCGTGTATGTTTCTTTCTCTTTAGATTGCATGGTAATAGCTCTGTCTTTATGATATACTGAATGGATGCTTATATTTCTCCACAAATAAAATATTAGACAATAAAAATAAAAAAAAAAAAACAAAAAAAACATTCTTTTGGAATTTGATTGTGTTTATGATTGTTTTGATACTTCTGCAATTGCCTTTTGTCTTGGTGTTTGTCCTTGAAATGTTGGCTTGTGTATGTTTCTTTCTCCGACAACCCTAAGGACCATTGGCTGCTATATTTGTCTCTTTAGATTGTTTACAAATAATAATTAGGTCAGTTTTGAATGAAAAGGACATAACTTTCTTCGGGATTAAAACCTGAGAGCAGTTTAAGTCACAACCACTCAAAACTGTTAATGGATGTAAAAGCCTGAAATTTCTTTACCAATAGAACTTCTGTTATATTTTTCAGATAAATCTGGTTTACTTGTTCATGGTCAACAAGATAACTATGTGCAACGATAGGAATCGTCTGAATGTATTTTTTCTATAAGTTTTTTGATGATATCTGCATTATTAAAAAAACAAAAAGTTGCAAATTTCATCAAACTGCCCAGAGGAGGCTTATACAGCATAGTGTAGTTACACAGCCTAAACTCAAGGACAGTGAAGCCTGTTTCTAAAATCAATCAAGAAATATGCAACTTGTTTTCTGTTTCCTAGAAAATCTTTCATATACATATTGAAAACAATTTGATCATAAATATAATGGGTGGACAATTTGATCAAACTTTGTTTGAAAAGTGGTTTATTTTTATTTGTTGTATCAACTTGCTTTACATTAATTCTCTTACTTCAACTATCTTTGTAGGTCAAAGTTAGGATTGCGGGTTGCGGGAGCAGTTACTTTTTTTGTTACCGCTATATTTTTTGTATGGTTCATGAAGGAGAAGTTACAAGAAGATATGAAGAATTTTTGTTTTATTTTGGTTAAGTAAAATATATAAGGTGTGGATCATGTACTTCTTTCAAATTTGTATATGGTTAATTTTTGTATAAAATAATGATTTGGAATTGGTTTATGAGTTGTAAATTATTTTGGTTATAATGCTATTTTGTATTTATTTAGGGTTCTTTAAGGCTAGTAGTAGTTTTTTTTTTTAAAATATATGTAACACTTTCTATCACGGTTATGCACCGTGGTAGAAAGTCTATTATTCTACCACGGTTTTGCACCGTGGTAGAAAAACGACTTTCTACCACGGTTGAAAACCGTGGTAGAAAAGTATACTTTCTACCACGGTTGTTTTTACCACGGTTCAAAATCGTGGTAGAAAGGCTTTTTTACCGTGGTAGAAAGGCTTTTTTACCGTGGTAAAAAGTCATTTTTCTTGTAGTGATTGGACTAGCTTCAGTGGCAATTGAAGGTGGAACTAGACAAGTATTATCTAGTGGCAACTGGGACACTGCAGCTGAAGTTGAGGCCAGGTTTATATGAATGTCAGTGACTGCATGGGCAAAGGGATTTGAAATTGATATGTGCATTTGGACTGTGATTTCTTCAACTTTTTTGTGATGGTTCTCCATTCAGATTCTTTTGGTTCAGATGAGTTGACACAAGGGCTTTCCCTAACAATATCATTGCTGGCTTGGGGAGAACAACAGTGGTCAGTTGTGTGTCCAAATGATGAACATTGCATGCATAGAAATGGTATCCATTGATAAACAACTTGAATTTCCTCCAATTTGTTTCCTTCAGTTCTCGCTTGAAAGGAATTAGGCAAGGGTGATTGTGGGCTAATCTCAATACACATCATGGCATAATCAATTCTGTCAATGTTCTGAGTACTTGCATTAAGAAAAAGTGCCTTACCAATTGCACTTGCAATGTAACTTAAACCTTTGGGAGACCAGTATCCCAGAGGTACATTGAATAACTTGACCCAAATAGAAGCTATTTTAGATGATTCAAGTGTAATTGAAGTGGGTTCAGTGTGCCATAGCTTTAGTTTGATAGGCATACCTGCAAAGTGCCATTGCCTACCCCCCAAGGCATCTCTGCAGCTCTCTATGGATCCGAATTTGATTTAGTACATGCCCGCCTTATTGACAATAACCTTTTGAAGCCCTCTGGAATCCCATATCTTATGAGCAAATGCTTGAAATGAGTTTGAATGGCATTTTCTTTGTGAAGCTCCCAATGAGACACTCCCTCCAAAAACTGTTGGCTTCAACACAGATATATGTTGGCGCGTGAGGCTCACTCGCAGATATAGCAGTACAGTGATTTCCTTCCATCATAAATAGTAGTGATAGCTGGCGCGTGAGGCTCACTCGCAGGAGATTTGTCCACGTTGCACTGTTAATGCCGGAGTCCGGCCACGAACTCTTTCAACTCAAGAAACATCGCCGAGAACCCAGCTGCCTCCTTAAGCAAACACTGGACTTTAGCTATTTCCAAATCTTTCTCCTTCAGCTGAGACTTAAATCTTGCAATTTCCTCAGTGAGTTCAAACTTTGCTGCATCCATAACCGCTGCATCAATAGCCTCTGGTAGCAAAATAACATCATTGACTTCAAGCCCTGAAGGATTTGACAGTCTCATTTTGCAATGCAAGCCGAACCTTCTCTTTTGTAGCTCCTGTAACTGTGGGTGAACGTGGGAGATGATGGTGTATGGCGAAACTTGTTGAAGGAGTGGAAAGTTGATTGGACCTGGGTGGTGTATGCAGAGGCATGTTTACCGGAGACTTTCCTAAATTCTTCGTGGTTGGAAGTGGAGGTTTGGGTGCAATTAGTGGATTGGTAGGAGTGAATTTGGCTTGTGAGGAGTGGGGAATATTTGCATGTTTGGTACTGGGATTTGCATTCAGGTTGTGTGATGGAAGTTTAGGCTTGGATGGAGAAGGATTATGATGAGATTTGGTGCTGCGGGTTGGTAAGAATGGTGGTTTCAGGTGGTTCGGTGGCCGGCGGTTGGGGTTGGGGTTTGGAGGTTTCATGGGTTTGTAAAGAAGAAGAAGAAGATGATTTAACCACGAGCAGCTTAACTAACTATAAGTACAGCCGTTAGAAGCATCAGTACTGGTACTCTTCCTTGAGGCTTCTTCCATTTTTCTTTTCACCTCATTGAGCACATTTCTCGCCCACTCTCTGAAAAATGTCTCATTGTATCCAATCATACCACTTTTGTAAATGGACATGCAGGGTCGATCATCTCCCGGGTAAGGGCCGTGCTCACCGTTAGGGTCACGCCATGCGCCTTGCTGTCTCATCCCGGACCCGCTAGCAATCCAGTGGTAGACAAACTGACCCACACCCGCAATTTTCAGCCAGCCCTTTGGGAAGAACTCAATGACACTGCTGTTTCTATCCATGAAGAACATGTTGGTCAATTGAACCCAATGTGGTGATATCAAAATGTCTGTTAAACTCATCAGCTTCACCTGAGTGCCATTAATTTGCACCAATTTTAGTTTATGTTTTTAGGAAAAAAAAAAAAAAACCCTATTATATATGAGGTCTTCTTGGTACTCTTCCATCTAGTGTAGAACCGCTCCAATTTGATTCATATTGGATTTGTCCACACAACTAATTAACTACAGTGTTAGGAATGCATTCACATTTACTTAGTATAAAGTAATATAAATGTTACGAATTGCTTTAATAATAACAAATTTTCCTTTTCATTATATATTTATAGTCTATATGGATTGATTATAAGACCATAAACAGAAGATGATAATGATAATAATAATAATACTCCATAATAGATTGATTATATGTAATTAGGTGTTGGACTTGGGTGGGCCTAACCCTAGCAATTTTATTCCTGTCAAAATAATTTACAAGAGTGAACAAGGTACTTACGATCTTGGGATGGGACTACATTTAAACTTTAAGCCCCGAATTCTGGCCAAAGGTTTTACTAATCTGGAAAACCGAGCAACCTGAAGAACCCAAAATATATGAATAGTTTATAATTTTTATAATTTTAAGGTTATACATATATATATGTAAAATAAAGTTAAAATTAAATTACGAGTGATAGGGAAAAATATAAACCTACCCTGCCCTCGATAAGATTGATTAGATTTCATTATTAAGGATAATGAAATTTGACGTGGTTCAACAGGTAAAAATAATCCTATTATAACTGGAGGAGGTCAAAAGAATTAAATCATATCCCCGACAAATCTGGCAACAAATCTCCTATTATTTCGCACAAGCGGAAGATAAGATCAATCATCAACATTGGCGGAACGATTTTGACTCCAATCGACAACCATAAATAGGGCACTAAGCCATTAAAGAAGGTACGACGTAAAAACTATTATTAATCCCTGCCTTCTTTTTAAACCTTCGTGACTAATTTGATCGTCGGAGAGCTCTTGGCAGGCACCACACCGGTGCCGTCAAGGTTCATCGATCTTCTCCTCTTTTCCTTGCAGGAAAACGGTATCGTATCGGATTGAGCGAATTTCAGCTTCAACAGTTGGCGCCGTCTGTGGGAACAACGATTCCCTTGAATCAATTAATTACTCGTTGGGTATATACGTTTGCAGTCCAGTATGGTTACCGAAGGAACACTGTCGCAGGGATCTGGTCAAAGGGTAGAGTCGGGTGAAAACCTGGACGTCCCAAACGACCAGGCACGGCTTGCAGCGTTGGAACTGCAGGTTCAAACTCTGAGCCAGGGTATGAATTAGTTGATCCAGCAAAATGCAACACTCTTGCAACACCTTGTTCCACCAGTTCAACAAAACTTTCTAGGACAAGATCTCTCAAGTCCAAACGGAGGTAATGGGAATCTTGAAGAGAAGGATAATCATCCCCCCCAAAATGAGACTGAAGTGGAACAAAGTTAGGTGGGAACCCGACATAGAGGTGTGGTTCACCCATCTCTCCCACGGAGTTCCCGACCTCCTGAAAGCATATCCTTCTGTCTTAAGGAAAAGACAAAGAAAGTTACCCATCTCAACTTGCAGATCAAGGATCTCAAGGGGAAAATGGAAGGTGTAATACAGGCTATGAAAGGGAAAGGTCCTGCCGCCGTAGATGACCTGGTACAAAGGACCAACTTGCCTTTCAGCCCCGCCGTTATGAAATGTCCATTACCTAGCAAGTTCAGGATGCCCTCGTTCGAAAGCTTCGATGGGACCAAAGATCCCCTCGATCACCTGGAAACTTTTCAAGCTCTTATGCATTTACACGCTGTGCCAGATGAAATCATGTGCCGAGCTTTTCCCACTACACTTAAGGGATCAGCGAGAGTTTGGTTCAACAAGTTGAAGCCAGGAACCATTAACACCTTCGAAGAATTGAGTAAGCAGTTTGTAAGCCATTTCATTGCAGGTCAGAGGCATAGGAGGCCGGCTACCTACCTGTTTACTGTGGAGCAACAAAAGGTAGAGTCGATTCGGGAATACATCACCCGATTCAACGCAGAGATGTTGCAGGTAGAAGAGGTGGACGACAAGGTAGCTTTGACCGCTTTCATAGGAGGACTCCAAACGTCCAGATTCTTGTTCTCCTTATTAAAAGAACCTCCCACCAGCATGATAGAGTTGCTAGTCAGAGCGCAAAAACATATCAATGTTGAAGACACCATGAGTGCACGGAAGGAAGGAGAGGACAAGAAGAGGCCAGCCCCTTTCGCCAGGGATGAAAATAATACCAAATATAAGAAATTGTTCTTCAGCCAAAGCGACAGCACATATCATGAAGATGAGTATACCGACTAGAAATTGTCTCACGGCTGGAATTAGTCTTATCAAGTCATTCACAATAAAGACTGGGGGCATCTTAGTTAATCATTTTAAATGGAAGGTAGCTCTATCACGTGTTATTTTGTTTTTAATAAGCCTTGAGGCAATGATGGTCTTTAATAAAATTCCTTTTAGTTTATACGTGCAGTATCCCCGTACTATAAGGGATAGTAAATGAGTGTCCTATATTACAAGGACCCGGGCTGAGTGAATCCCATAATCCGTATCCTCGTACTATAAGGGATAGTAAATGAGTGTCCTATATTACAAGGACCCAGGCTGAGTGAATCCTGTAATCCGTATCCCCGTACTATAAGGGAATAGTAAATGAGTGTTTTGTATTATAAGGACCCGGGCTGAATGAAT